AAATAAATCATATCATTGGAAAGACCTCCACAAAATAAACAAGACTCCAAAGTATGGTTGTTTTTGGTTAAATAATGTGAAAGAAATGGACCTTCTTAAAAATTACAAAGAAATGTATGTACTGAATGGACACTGTCCATCCAAACCATACATTTCCTTGTAATTTTCGAACATTTTTTCAATTAGGTTAATTTAGATAACTAGTACCCAGGCTCCTTCTCGTTTAGGTAAAAGCCAATTGTGATGGATTATCTACACGCCAGCAAGTATGTTTTAAGCAACAAATTCTACCTGAGATTTTCTATTGTCCCACAAAGTTCCTTTAATCTCCCCATGTCAAATAACTGTGTCAGATCATATGATTTTGTCCTGTTTTCATCATCAGAACTATCTTCAATTATCTCTTCCTCCTCGTATGAATTTGGCTGTGAAAGAAACCAAAGAAGCCTCTCTACTTCATATATAATCTTTTGTTTCTGACTAATGGTACTTTTTCGGTGAGGGTATTCCACTTGTTTGATCTAGTATAAAAAGACACTGAGATGTTACAAGGCCTAGTTTCATATTTTACATTTATAACGTGATTTCAGCTCTGGCAAACATTACATTTTTAAATTAATTTTAACATCAATGAAATCTGAAAATGCTAGATTGCTTTCCAACACTTAACCTACTTTATATTAATAATTATACACCAAGTTAGAAAATGTTTTTAATTAATGGCTGTATAATGGCAATGATTGGTTCGCTATAAATTAAACAACATTCAGAGGTTTGATTGATAGAGACCAAAAACATATTTTGAACTGTGTTGAAAAAAAAAAAAAACAAAAAAAAAACAGTAAACAAACACATTCTCTTGGACTTAGAAAAACAAAAAAGGGCATTACCAGTTGATAAGGTTGCCCAAATGACTGCTTTTCTTTAACTTGACATAATACTTTCTTTTCAAACAGGGCCATTTGAGAACAACAACCAAGATGGTCTGTTCCTTCTGGCCCTTCGCCAATGCCTTGGAATGTTACTTTGTAACCATACTTCGATGCTTGACATGACGACCTTTAACATAAATAATTGCACCTCATTAATAAGGATTAGTGTCCAAGCAATTGCCTCAGTCGCAGCAATATGAGATTTGCATTGCTGTCAACTTGCTTGAGGAAAGTTGATGAAAAAATATGGGAACTTGAATGATTCGGAAAATTATATGGACACTGTTATGTGATTGGTCAATTAGCATGACAGGTGATAACTAAGCATATGTAACCAATACCATAGTTGTGTGAGACACAATACATGAGTTTGATTAGCATAAAGTTACAGACTGTCACTAGGCCTACTTGCCATTGTGGGTTGTTGCCAATAAAGAAGATTTTGTACAACTAGCATGCAAAATTTTACACAGAACCAATTTTTGCATGACTCTGCATTGACATAGCAAGATACCCTTCAAGAATAATTTCAAGAATATATCACGGTATGGTCTGGACCAGTTTGAGAAAACAATGGAGAAACAATAGAAAAGTATTCCAACAATAAAACAAAACCTAACCTAACAATAGAGCTGCTGTATTACGGTACGTTCTTGTCACATAAACTGCCATGTTCTTTTTACAGTCATAAAAAGTCTGCTCTACATGGCAAATCCATGTAACTTTGTCTGGTAGTGACAATACAGAAGAAATTGAAGAGAGAATAGATGACAGTAGCCTGCGTGCAGAAAGAAACGCTCTGCCCCCAACAAGGAACGCCTGCATGCAGGCTAAGATGATAGTGACAGAATGAACGAACAGGAAAATCACAATATGAAAGCATACCTCCAAGAACTAAATCATGTAAAACTGAGGACAAAACCTGACTAATTGTCAATTTGAAAAAATATCTTACCATTCTTCAAATTCTTGTCTTGTCCATTCAAATTTATGATCCCAATGACGGAATCCTTCCAAATTTGGAAACAGAACATTGAAATCAGCATTAGGAGTGGTAACTATGACAACATTGGGTGACAACTGACCAAAGACTACTGCAGGCATCTTTTCTAAATGTTCTGGTATAAGGTGTTCAATGCTGGATATAAAGATACAAAATTGGAATATTAAGTGGAATTATATTAAGTTTCTCATTGGGGGTTGGTATACCTTGAAGGGAACCTCAAGGCCTCGTGTAAATTATACTAAATACATGTACTCTGGATTCAAACCACTGACAAACAAAATTCTAAAGAGTTTTAACATGAGATATACTAAGTTTTCCCATAACTAAGAATTGTGCCACCAATTTACTTACATTTCTACGCATGATATCAGATCAAAGTCGCAAAATCTGTCATCTGCTTCAGAGATTGATCCTTAAAAAAAATCAT